TATTTAGATGTACAGGAGTGCCTAACTTATGTGCATATAACAAAATGTCTACAAATTCAAGAGCTGAAACTGCCTAGCAGTACAAACCATGCTGTACCAGTAGAAATCGGTAAGGTATTATTGCCTCATTGAAACACATTCTTGGCATGGCTACTGTGGAGCAGCAGTAGTGCCAGTGCCCTGCTGTTCTAGAAGCCATGTGGAAATCATGATTCAGATTCCAAGTAGGCTTGAAAACACACTAGAGTTGTGCACAGCTGCCCAGGATCTGGAGGACCTGGGGAAAGGAGATTGCAGCATGAGACCCTGCTGAGAGTGCTTCTTTCTACCTCTCTCTCTTATGCACTTGCATATGCTTTCTATCATTAAAAAAAAAAAAAAAAAAGAAAAGAAACAGAGGGCCAGCAGGTGGCATAGAGGTTAAGATGCTGGTTCCCATATGGCTGACTCCATGGTTTGAGTCCCAGGCCTGACAGTTTGAAAATCATACTGGACTCATGTGCATGCGTGCATGCATGCCTCAAATCCTGAGAGACTGGAAGAGAAGTGATTGTGGCATTAATATGGATTCTGTTTGCTAACTGCTTGCAAACAGGAAGTGTTTCTATTCCACCTTTGTAAATTGCCAGAGGGGAAATGTAACAAGCTGGATTGCAACTGTTTTGAGATTGTTTTGCTGACTCTTCCACAACATTCATGACTCAAGACAATAAAATCCCTGAAACTTCCACACCCTGGGCCAAATTTGAGAGTACATCTTTGTTGGGACCCCAGGCATTATAAATATGAGTTCTCCTACTCTCTGAGTGACACTTGGTTTCTCCATGGTCTGTTTTTTGCAACAGCATGGCCTCCTTGGGGGTTGATTTCTTTCTTTCCTTTTTTTCCTTCCTTTCTCTTTCTTTCTTTCTTTCTTTCTTTCTTTCTTTCTTTCTTTCTTTCTTTCTTTCTTTCTTTCTTTCTTTCTTTCTTTCTCTCTTTCTTTCTTCTTTCTTTCTCTGGCAAGCACATGCATCTTATAGCAAAAACTAAAAAAGAAAAGAAAAAAACCCGAAACTTATGCCAGCTGGTTTTCCTTGGAATGCTTTCTCATTTGTAGAACTTTTTTCTAACAATGTTGTATTGTTGAAGAAAAAAGTAATTAATCACACTTGTCAAAGATACTAAGGCAGACTTCACTCAAGGGAGGACTGTAGGAGCAGGTATAGGGGAGCACTTCTGGGGGTCTTACAAGAGAGGAGACAGAATGGGCTTGACTTTGACTCCAACAAGGGCAGTGGGGATTTGTAACCAAGGGGTCAGTGGATGGGAAGTTACTAAGAGGAACATTAAGGTAAAGGGGATTTGGGCTAGACTGACTTAGCAGAATTCTTGCTGAGGGCAAGCCAGAGTGATAAGTTATCTTGGGTGGTCAGATACTGATGGTGGGGAGTTTTGCTAAGCTGATTTAGCAGAATTTGTGCTCAAATGGGATTCTACAAGGACAGGGAGGGAAGGCCAAGATTGGATCTGGTCAAGCAGAGGGCTCAGAGGAACCTGACTGTAGTTAGGTAGAACGTCTAAATGTACCTTTTTTTCCCTCTCTTATTTTGTGACTATAGCTCTTCAGCTTCTATAGTTAGTTGAAAACAAATTATTCTTTGGTCAGACGATACATGTGCTCACCAGAGAGAGACAGAGAGTGGGAGAGGAGAAAGCACCCCGCCCCCAGTGGTGTGTGATCATGACACAATCCCTTTGCCTCCATTTCTCCATCCTGTCAAGATTTTGGGTGTACACATGCCTAATTCAAGCTGCTGGGCTGGGCTTTGAATCATGGTCAGTCATTTGGGATCCAACTCTTTTAACCATACAGCTACAGGGCCAGCCCTGAAAATGGATTTTAGTGGGTCTCTGGCCCATTGTTGGATTGTCATTAGGCCTGCTGGTTATTTTAAAGGCAGCACAAGTTGAGAGACATGCTCATGGGATTCCTTAGCCAAGACAGTGCTGGGGATCCAGAACTTTCTATCTTAAGAAAGGGAGACCAAACATTCTGGTTGGCCCAGAACAGGTTTTCCTGGGATGTAGGACTTTCAGTGATAAAATGGAGAAAAGTCCTGGATGAACCAAAATGACTTGGTCCCCTGATGGGATAGTAGCTGTCTTTGCCTCTGGAGACACAGCCTTCTGTTAGTAAAATGATACCAGTTAAATCTGGAATGGTTGTTATAGCCTGTTAATACTGCAGGCACTTCAGCAGTCATTTTCTTCTCATTTCGTGGATACTCAGAGTCCAAGACGTTTTCCTCAAGGTCACACAGCTTGCTAGAGGCTTATCAGGAACCAGCCTCCAGATTACCACACTTGATTTAGAACACTTCTCACAGCATTGCAGTTTTTGCTTTCTCATTCTCTTTTTACCACTTTTTTTTAAAGAGAGATTTTTGCTATAGGGCATATGTGTTCACTGGAGAGACAGAGAGCAAGAAATCCCCCCCACCCCCAGGGGAATGGCCATGCCGCAATCCCTTCTCTTCCATTCTCCTCTTGGGATTTTGGGCACATACACATGTGCCCAGCACGAGTTTTAAGCCACCTGGGTCCACTACTTGACCTGTGGTTGACTACTTGAGAGTCCAGTGACGTAGACATTATGCCATCTACTGGTCCCACTTTTTATCACTTTCTTCAAATGTAAAACGATCTGGGCCATTCTGACCAAAATAAAAACCCCTTGCCTCAGTTCTTCCTTAGCAACCTATTTTCTGGGAACCCTCTCTTCTTGGGAGCTCTTTTTCCTTTCCTCTCCTTCAGTAAACTCCCCATTTAGGTATACTAAACAAACAAAAATGTAAAATGAGTTCAGCTGGTTTTGTTTTGGCCACAGGATCCAGCTATTAGGACAGTGAAAGCTGCCCTTCCCATTTGTACTGGGTACCGCTTTTAGTTGTATTTATGATGGCAGGGAGAAATGAGGGCCAGGTGTCAATCAAGTTGTAGTAGACGGCCTCAGTTGATCATCTCTGCAGTTGCACGGCATTCATTCTTACCTGCTGTTTCTCTAGCCCATGGAAGTATTTTCGATATGCAACCATTGGTTTTCACTGAGATGTCACCCTTGACTGAGGCAGTCATGTACCCTTCTAAAATGGCAAGTGAGGGGGTTGTATTCCCCTTTGAGCTTCATGCTGAGAAAATGCATGAATGGTTTGCTGCTTCTTCTTTCAAAGAGAAGTGGAACTTTTTTTTCTTTTTCAGCGTCTTGCTATGTTGAGCTCCACCACACCTGGTTTCTTTTCGAGTGGGCCACAAATTGAACCCGTGCCTCCCATGTGGCCTCAGCAATGTCAACCCCTGCACGCTACCAAGGCTGAACCCAAAGGGAAGCTCTAAGATGCTTACTCCAAAAGCTGAAGTTAACGTACAAACTGATAAGTTCTAAGCACTTGACAGTAACTCATTTACTCCTCCTCATGCACTTCTAGAGAAGTACCACTGCTATGCCCATTTCACATAAGGAAACTGAGGCACATCAGGGTTAAGCAACCAGCCAAAGTGGGTTTTTTATTATTTTTTTTAATGCCAGAGGGCATGTGTGTGTGAGTGAGAGAGAGAAAGAGAAAGCATTCCTCACAGGGCCTGGTCATGTTATAATCCTTCCTCCTTTAGTTCTCCAACCTGTCAGGATTCCAGGCACATTCATTGTCAAGCACCAGAGCTAGGAATTCAACCATATTCAGCCAGGTGGAATATAGCCTATTCTGTGTAGCGCTTAACTGTGGCCCCAGAGTTGTGTTATTTTGTTTAACTCTGGTAGTGGCGTTGTCTGTTTCTGAGCATCATTTTCCTATAGAAGAGAAAATAGAGGTCAAATAATCCAATGATGCAAATCATCCAGAATGTGTTCTTGGAAAGCAAGGGCAGAAAAAGGGTGGAGGGATGTTTTCTTGGGGGTATACAGAGATACTAATGTAGGACAAATACTTTGGCTGACTTCTCCAATCTACTTAGATGATGGCTATGGTAGTATGTCTCAGCCCCCAACTCCTGTCTTCATTGGATACCCTTGTTCTGACACTAGGTATAAAACACCCTGTACTATCCTGCCTCAGTCCATGCTAGAACACAGCCATCAGGCGCTGGGAAATTCTACCATGAAATACCATCTCTCATCATGGTTCCTTTACCAAGCCCTTTGTGATTTCTCCTGCCTTATTCAATCCCCTGAACCCATTAGTACTTCATCTTTGCCTTTCCCACTTACCCTGTCTGGTTAGTCCAGCCAATGGAATATGTACGACAAACCATGGGAAGGTGTGACACATATTAGGTGAAACTGTAAAGCTGGTAAAGTGTTACCAGCTTCTACCTCTTGTTCACTTCCCTCCTTCTTTCTCATACATTCCATCATGTTCTCTCGCACTGTGATCAACCTTTTTTCCTCAGTTAGGCCTGGTTGTAGTTCTCTATATTTCAGTGTGACTTTAAGACCATATGTTGCCACTCAGTGTTATACTTTAAAGCTGAGCACTACCAGGGAACATAATTATACATTTACTCTGTCCGCACAAAGGTAACAAAGCATCACTGAACAGGGAGGTGTTCTACAGGGACAGGAATCCTTCTTCGTGCTTCTGAAATCAAAGCACATGAACAACTTTTATGTGGCCTGCGTTAATGTGTGGTCTGCTCCCATACATGAATGTTGGAATCCTTACTTTCATGTGTGAACCCACTGTGCAGTTTTTAGTTTTATAGGGAACATCCAGAATTATCAACTTGGTTACCTTATGTGTCACAGCTGTCATGCTTTGGGGAAAGGAGATTGCTACTAAGTCCTTTGGAAAGGAAGGTGTTTATTTTCAAAATGGTGAGAGTGGACTTCAGTTAATTCCTGGCTTTTCTGCAGTTTTGCATGCTGGGCTATCAGAAAGTAGCAAACATTGTCAGGTACTGTGTCAACACATCACTGTCAAAACACAGCACTCCACAGTAATGATACCGACCGTGAGCGAAAGTAGTAGTCAGTATGATTTTATTGAAATGTTCTAGTACAATGCTGAAGGATCTTTGAATCCTAAATTCTAAACCAATGCAAGCACTGCAAATTATATATTCCTGAATCTAGCTGGCACTGTATCTAAGAAGCAAAGTTTCCACATGAATATCTTTAAGTTGACTAGTATAAGTTGGAGGCTCAACAACTTTGGTATATTCATATTTCTCTGACTCCCCTTTTTGCTAGATAGTTCAGTAGAGTTGGACAGGACTGATAGATTTGGGGTCTCACTTCAGTTTCCACACTATGAGCAGCAAGGAATGTGTAAGTTCTGGAAGTAAGCTACTCATGAGGCCATCATTGTCCCTTTGGTTGAACTGAAACTATCAAATAGTTAAGGTATGAATTTCCACTGTGTATAGCTAAATCCAGCCTATTAGTTAATGAATGTGTTCAGAAGTACTTTACAATAAAAAAGGAGGGCTACATAATGATAGAAATCATTAGTTCTTAACTCAAAGAAAGACAGTGCATGTGTTTTTATCTGAAGATCATTATTTTAAAACTAGCTCTATACACCTTAGAGAAGGATCTTTGAATCCTAAATTCTAAACCAATGCAAGCACTGCAAATTATATATTCCTGAATCTAGCTGGCACTGTATCTAAGAAGCAAAGTTTCCACATGAATATCTTTAAGTTGACTAGTATAAGTTGGAGGCTCAACAACTTTGGTATATTCATATTTCTCTGACTCCCCTTTTTGCTAGATAGTTCAGTAGAGTTGGACAGGACTGATAGATTTGGGGTCTCACTTCAGTTTCCACACTATGAGCAGCAAGGAATGTGTAAGTTCTGGAAGTAAGCTACTCATGAGGCCATCATTGTCCCTTTGGTTGAACTGAAACTATCAAATAGTTAAGGTATGAATTTCCACTGTGTATAGCTAAATCCAGCCTATTAGTTAATGAATGTGTTCAGAAGTACTTTACAATAAAAAAGGAGGGCTACATAATGATAGAAATCATTAGTTCTTAACTCAAAGAAAGACAGTGCATGTGTTTTTATCTGAAGATCATTATTTTAAAACTAGCTCTATACACCTTAGACTATAACAGATGAAATGATTACTTTTAAATCAACGAGCTTTAGTCATGTCGGGATGTCTAAACTGACACATTGTATGTCAGGCTGTCTACGTATGTGTGTTTACAACTATATCTTCATTTCATACAGGCATAGACATTCCCAAAAATACAGATGTCACACACTTATCAAAGATAAAAATCACATTGCATGAAAATAAGCTCTTTACACATCTCAAGTCAATTCTTTCTAGATATAGTCAATCTGTACTGCACAGCTTACTTTACCAAGTTACATTTTTCTCAAAAGCCATTTCAAGGTACATCAAAATGCTAGTTTCTGCAACAATTAGAATACTTTCTGACTTCAATTCAGCTTATGCTCTAGTGAAGTTTGAAATCCTAAAGATTGCTGTTCAAGTCTGATAATGACCTACATAAGATTTGCTTTTTTGCCTGTGGAATTTAGATCAGAGAATTCATTTTCTACTAATTTTAAGACTCAGCAGAAGGGAGAGGTTGCCGTTTATTATTTTTAGGCTTTGTCTATGTAGGCAAGTTCTCTTCTGTGGGGGCCAAAGAATTCAGCTGGTTGTTCACCTATGTGCATGTAATAAAATTCACAGAGTTAGGGGGCTGCTGCAACCAGCCAACCCTTGGAGAAGTCTTTCCTCAGTGCCTTTCCCCTCCACCACCACTGAGTCACCTTTCAACATGATCTTCATGGAACAACCTCTGTTTACTTATATTTTTTCATAGGCCTCTCCTACCTACATTTTTTAATGTAATAGCTTTGGTTAAAGTAATCAGGTGCTTAAGACTTTTACTTCTGATTACAAAGGGCGAAAGAACATTTAATCATAATTAATGAAATAATGCTTAACTACACAGTTGGTGGCATTCATAAAAAGTTACCTTTTTATGTCAAGAGCAAAATAATGATAAGACTAGAAAATGTGAGGGGACTGAAGGGAGTCATTATTTTGGTGGGAATCTGCAACATGAATTATTGGGGAAAATTACAAAGTGAAAGCTATAGCTAACAGTATGTAAACGAACAAGATGATGGGATATGGGGTGCATTTCAAAGGCCTGTCTGTCTGAGATGGTCAGAGGAGAGCACCAATGTGACAGTGAGCTCAGCGACTATCTCAAAGTGATTTCTAGATCAACATGATTGCTGAACATAATTTCAGAATTTTAAGATATGGCATTTCAGGAAAGTGATAGTTATGTTTCATAAGTGGTAGTAAAAAATGACAGAACTACATTGCCTCTGATACATCTAATGTTTATAAAAAAAAAAGTGCCAGTGGTCATCTGAAGCTAAATATAATTTGGTCCAAATTAAGCATAATAATCAAGGTAGTTTATTTGAAAGTGAGTTGCCAAAAAAAAGAAAAAAAAGAAAAATCAAAATTTATGGTATTAAAAATTTTCTAGGGTTCACTTGGAAGGGCTAATTCTATACAGGGTTTTACCCAAATGTCCATAGGCATTATCATTATACATTTATACAGAAGGCTTTAATCTGAAGTCACCTTTGGCAACCTCAAAATATATAAACTATCAGCTTCCACAATGGAATTATATACGTAAAAGTTGCTGCCTCAAAGTACTAACAGAACAAAGGAAAAGGTCACCTAACAAGTCAAATTGACAAAAACGTTTCTCACTTAAGATAGTTTACTTAAACACCAAATAACCACCACCATCCCCCTTAAAACTGGAAATAAGTGATCTTGAGCTTTATAAAGAGAAACAATGAATCTCAGTACAAAGACCTGATGCTTTTGCCAGTGATTATCTTATCATTGCTGAGTCCTAAAGCTAAAAAACTAGGCAAACAAAATCAAGTGAGACGTCAGAGTCATCTTGCTTTCCACTTCAGATTCCGGGTTTATAGTGGGACGTGACTGAACAGATACGACACGGATTCACCATTGTGGGTCCTGCGGATCGCCTCAGCCAGGATCATTGAAATGTCAATCACCTAAATGCCAATGAGAAAAGGGAAGAGAATGGGACAGCTAAATGACATTTCCTTAAAAACTGAAAAGTCAGAAAGTCTAGAAACAATGTGTCTAGCACACATGATGTGTTACCATCAAAAGTGCCTACACCCATTTCTTACAGCTTTCGGGTCTGTGTTCAAATGACAGCTTGGTAAATCCAACCTGGACAGGGTCCTGGAAGGAAAGTTTTCAGTGCAAACAGTCAAAGGCTTTTCAGGGCTGCTGTTAACCAGAGACACTCTTCTCTTGGAGGCATTTGTTGTTTTAAAATTATTATAATTTTATTCCATCATTTTTGAAAAGTTTTTCTCTTTGTTTCGGAAAAGGCAATGATGGTGGCATTTAAAAGTACAACTGTGACCATCTCACCAAGCAGTTAGCAAACTAATTTTTCTATAGAAGACCAGAGAGTTGATATTTTTGGCTTTGTAGGCCAGTCTCTATCACCAACACTCAACTCTGCCATTGTAGCTAGCATGAAAGTTGCTATGGCTACACATAAATGACTGGGCATGGCTGTGTTCCAATAAAACTTTAGTTATAAAGACTGATGATGGGCGGGATCTGGCCTGCGGGCAATGGTTGGCCAACTCCCAACCTGAACTACTGCCAATTAGGGTTAGAAATCATGAAGTAGGGACCAGCAGTTGGCGTAATGGCTATGTCGCTGAACTCCCATGTAGTTGACTACCGTTCCAGTCCTGGACCAGGTGGCTTAAACTCACACCGGGCATGTGAGCGTGTGTGCCCAAGATCCTGAGAGGAGAATGGAGAAGGGATTGCAGCGTGGCCATCCCCCTGGGGGGCTTTCTGTCTCCCTCTGTCTCTCTGGCGAGTGCACCACACACCCTGTAGCAAAAACCTCTCCAAAAACAAAAAAAAAAAAAAAAGAAAGAAAGAAATCATGAAGTAGATCATGACCCACCTTCATATTAAACTGATGGGAACTGAGGCTTCAAGCGCTGAAATGACAAACTGAGGTTCACTGCAACATATGGACAAAATGGGAACCTGGACCTTTTTGACAAATTACAGGCCCGCAGGTACCAAGAGATTATTAACTACCAGCTTTCTGAGGGCCTGTAGGCACCTAGTCAGAGGGGCTATGGAGGAGCAAAGCTCTGCTAACCCATGTGTGTGCTTATCCCAAAATCTGCCAATTTTTGTCATTTCTAAGTATGAGGGAATCTTCAAAAAGCTCATGAAAATGTGTATATGAAGATTTCATTATTTTTACACCAAAATAAACTCATACTTTAATTCAATTTTTGCATGAACTTTTTGAGTCCTCTGTATACAATTCAGTGGCATTAATACATTTCCAATGTTGTATAACCACCACCATTATCTGTTTCTAGAACTTTTGTATCATTTCAGACAGAAGCTGTATACCCATTAAACACTAACTCCCCTCCCCTCCACCATCACTTTATTTCCTGTCTCTATGATTTTTCCTATTTTGGGTACTTTACATGAGTGCAAACAATATTCCTCCTTTTGTAGGTGTTTTTTTTCTACTTAGCATAATGTTTTCAAGGTTCATCCATGCTGCAGCACGTATCAGAATTTTCTCCCTTCTTAAGGTTTAATAGTATTCATTTATAGGGGCCAGATGGTAGTGCAGTAGTAATGCAGGGCTCTGTGGGGCTGATCCACATGGGAAGGTTCTGGGTTCAAGTATAGAGTCCTTCCTGGGTATGCCGGGTGTGCACATCCCCATGCTGGCTGGGGCTAGGGATGGATCATGATGTGAGAACCCTATTGGAGGTGCTTGTTTCTCTGTTTCTGTCTCTCTCTATCTCACTCATGGAAGAAACAGATAAACTTAAAAAAATTTCCCACGTAGCAACAGACCACATTCATTATCTAGTCATCTACTGATGGACATTTGGGCATTTCCACAATTGGTTAGTTTGAATAGTGCTGCTTTGAAACAGCTGTACACAAGTTCTAACTTGATACCTAGGGGTGGAACTGTCAAATCACCTGGTAATTCTATATTTAACGTTAACACACCCTGCTTCTTAACTGTTTTTCCAATTGTGCTTTTGGTCTACTCACTATTTCTGAACAGTGAACGCTGACCTCTGCTGGCCCTGGCCTTTCCCAGGGATCCACTGTAATTTATACTCTGTCGTTAGGAGAAACTACAGCCTCTGCCTGTGTCTGCTTTAGTATACGGTCACATATAGAAAGTTTGAAACTAGTTCTAGGGACCTGAAATAGGTGCCTCGCAGCTTGCTTCTGCCTGCAGTGTAGACAGTACCTGAATCTTGGAGCAGTGTTTCATTTTATCCTCTTGAGGGATGGTGTTGGTAACAACAACAGCTTCAAAGGCAGCATTATTTATTCTGGAAATAGCTGGCCCAGAGAAGATCCCATGGGTAAGGATAGCATAAACTTTGGTGGCTCCAGCAGAGAGTAACCTGTAAAACAGAAGATAAAAATTAAGTATACACAAACATCCTTGAAATACTCTCCCCAAGTATGAACTCTTCCACAGTAGTCTAACAAGCCAAAAGTGTGTTCCATACAGGAAGATGAAACAAATCTCATTTACAGTTATTAGCTTGAAATAGACATTTTAAAGGTGTGTATCAGCAATGCACTCTGTATGTTTTTTAAAATTTGTTTCTTTAATGAGAGAGAGAGAGAGAGAGCATGCACACAAGCAATGCCACTGATAAGAGTCCTGTCACACCACAATTCTCCCTCAGTCTTCTATCTGGCTAAGATCACGGGCATACCTGCAGGTACACCCGGTGTGTTTAGGTCAACACAGGATCTGAACCTGAGACCTTCCCATATGGCTCCACTATTACACAGCAGCTCCCTACTGCCTGCACCACGTCTGGGCCAACACTTTATGTGTAATTAAATCAAGGATAATCAACCTTGTCATCTGGGCCTGGGTAATTCTTGATTGTGGGGGCTGTTTCTGTGCATTATAGAAAAATTTAACAGCATCCCTGTCCTCTACCCACTAGCAAGTCACCTCCCCTCAGTTTTGGTAACCAAAAATGTTTGGAAACATTGCCAAATGTCCTCCAGAAAGCAAAATGCTCCTGTTTTGACAGGTTTGGTTTAAACCAATATAGTCAAAGTATCATTTTGATGTGTAACCAATGAAAACATTATTGTACTTCCTATTACATTCTTTAATTGCCTGAGGGCATGTATGCTCACCAGAGAGAGAAAGGGATAAAGCACTCCCCTAATAGGGTGTGGTCACACTGGAATCCCTTCTCCAATTCTCCATCCTGTTGGGATTTTGGACACACATACACATGTGCCTGGCATGTTTCTTAAGCCACCAGGGCTGGGATTCAAACCACGGTTGGCCATGTGGGATCTGGCTCCCTCAACCAGTAAGCTCTAGGGCCAGCCATCAAACATTGATGAGATGTTTACATTCTGTTTCCTACTAATTCTTTAAAACCTGATGTGTACTATAGATTTTCAGCACATCTCAAGTCGGATTGGCCACATTCCAAGCTCTCCACAGCTGTGCATGGCTGGGCAGTGGTGTCCTAGAGCAGACCGTGTAGTTCTGCATCCTCCAGAGACCGATGTGGCTGAGGAGGGTGGGGTGAACGCTGAGCAGAAGGCAGCAAGGACCCAAAAAAGCCCCCAAAACTCTTTCCTTCTGTATTCAGCTTGACGGGAAGCACCTTCCCTGCACCCTTTAAAATTATACTAAGAGTGCATTCCAGAAAATGGATAGGCACACAGGTTCCTTTCTGCCAAGAAAATAATAGGACCCAATGGTGGTGTGGGAGGAAACACAGCTCTGTGAGGCTGACCCACATGGGAGGGCTTCAGGTTCACATTTGGAGACCTCTCTGAGTATGCCGGGCATGTGTGTGCCCATGTTCTAGACTGGCTGAAACTAGGAGTGGACAGTGACATCAAGACTCTATTGGGGGAATTATCTCTCTATGTCTCTTTCACTCACAGAATAAGTAAACTTAAAAAGAAAAAAAAATTCTTAAAAAATAAAGTAAAAAATGATAAAAAAATAAGTGGGCCTAGAGTCTCCTTTGGTTTATGATGCCACTGCCAAGTAATCAGAAATAATTGGGAGAAACAAGCCCAATTTTTTTTTAAGGATTTTTTTTTTTGCTATAGGGTGCATGTACTCACTAGAGAGACGGAAACACAGAAAGTGAGAAACCACCCCCCAGGGGGGGTGGCCATAATGCAATCCCTTCTCCTCCATTCTCCTCTCAGGATTTTGGGCATACACACATACACACACACACACACACACACACACACACACACACTCGGCGTGAGTTTAAAGCCTCCAGGTCTGAGACTCAAATCATGGTCTGCCATGTGGAGATCACGGGCATACCTGCAGGTACACCCGGTGTGTTTAGGTCAACACAGGATCTGAACCTGAGACCTTCCCATATGGCTCCACTATTACACAGCAGCTCCCTACTGCCTGCACCACGTCTGGGCCAACACTTTATGTGTAATTAAATCAAGGATAATCAACCTTGTCATCTGGGCCTGGGTAATTCTTGATTGTGGGGGCTGTTTCTGTGCATTATAGAAAAATTTAACAGCATCCCTGTCCTCTACCCACTAGCAAGTCACCTCCCCTCAGTTTTGGTAACCAAAAATGTTTGGAAACATTGCCAAATGTCCTCCAGAAAGCAAAATGCTCCTGTTTTGACAGGTTTGGTTTAAACCAATATAGTCAAAGTATCATTTTGATGTGTAACCAATGAAAACATTATTGTACTTCCTATTACATTCTTTAATTGCCTGAGGGCATGTATGCTCACCAGAGAGAGAAAGGGATAAAGCACTCCCCTAATAGGGTGTGGTCACACTGGAATCCCTTCTCCAATTCTCCATCCTGTTGGGATTTTGGACACACATACACATGTGCCTGGCATGTTTCTTAAGCCACCAGGGCTGGGATTCAAACCACGGTTGGCCATGTGGGATCTGGCTCCCTCAACCAGTAAGCTCTAGGGCCAGCCATCAAACATTGATGAGATGTTTACATTCTGTTTCCTACTAATTCTTTAAAACCTGATGTGTACTATAGATTTTCAGCACATCTCAAGTCGGATTGGCCACATTCCAAGCTCTCCACAGCTGTGCATGGCTGGGCAGTGGTGTCCTAGAGCAGACCGTGTAGTTCTGCATCCTCCAGAGACCGATGTGGCTGAGGAGGGTGGGGTGAACGCTGAGCAGAAGGCAGCAAGGACCCAAAAAAGCCCCCAAAACTCTTTCCTTCTGTATTCAGCTTGACGGGAAGCACCTTCCCTGCACCCTTTAAAATTATACTAAGAGTGCATTCCAGAAAATGGATAGGCACACAGGTTCCTTTCTGCCAAGAAAATAATAGGACCCAATGGTGGTGTGGGAGGAAACACAGCTCTGTGAGGCTGACCCACATGGGAGGGCTTCAGGTTCACATTTGGAGACCTCTCTGAGTATGCCGGGCATGTGTGTGCCCATGTTCTAGACTGGCTGAAACTAGGAGTGGACAGTGACATCAAGACTCTATTGGGGGAATTATCTCTCTATGTCTCTTTCACTCACAGAATAAGTAAACTTAAAAAGAAAAAAAAATTCTTAAAAAATAAAGTAAAAAATGATAAAAAAATAAGTGGGCCTAGAGTCTCCTTTGGTTTATGATGCCACTGCCAAGTAATCAGAAATAATTGGGAGAAACAAGCCCAATTTTTTTTTAAGGATTTTTTTTTTTGCTATAGGGTGCATGTACTCACTAGAGAGACGGAAACACAGAAAGTGAGAAACCACCCCCCAGGGGGGGTGGCCATAATGCAATCCCTTCTCCTCCATTCTCCTCTCAGGATTTTGGGCATACACACATACACACACACACACACACACACACACACACACACACTCGGCGTGAGTTTAAAGCCTCCAGGTCTGAGACTCAAATCATGGTCTGCCATGTGGGAGTCCAGTGACATAACTGTGCTGGTCTCAACAGGCCCATTTTTTAAACGCTGATATCTGTTCCCTTCTTAGAGCTTTCTTAAACTGTCTCACATACTTGTCCGCAGCGTGGCAGATAGTGCCACATGTGTCGGCCATGTCATCCACGAGGATAGCCACACGGTCCTTAACATCGCCCACTAGAACCATCCGGTCCACTTCATTTGCTTTCTTTCTCTCCTTGTGAATCAAAGCAAATTCCACATTTAGCCTGTCTGCAATTGATGTGACCCTGTGTAAAGATGCAAATGAGCATGTTAATATAGTCAACTACAAAAACTTTTCCTTAAAATAGTATGTTAAGAACATAGCACGCAACCACACTTAAGATAATGGAAAGAATCCTGTCTCAGGTGGTATGTAGACACAGTCCGGGGTATTCCCTATGCAATTCACAGGGGACATATGCTAGCGATAGACCCTGTATTTGTGGCAACTGGAGTGACGTTCAGGGCACCCTGGCCACTGAATAAAAAATGAATATTCGATTTGTTAGTATTTATCGGTAGGTTTTAAAAATCATGGGCACAGTTACAATGAATTATTTAGAACTACCAGTGGCTCAGGTTACAGGGCAGAAGGTGAGGACGAAATTCCTAATGAGTGCACCCACATAACACACAGGCTTTGGAATGGGCTTCACTGTGCTTGAAGCTCAGGAAAACCCTGGAACCCGTAAGTCCAGTCCCTCTGCAGATGCTCACATAGCCAACCATGGTCTGAATCCTGGCTCTGGCAGCTTGAAAAACATACTGGGCACATGTGCCCAAAATCCTGATGGAAGGGATGAATGAAAGAGAAGAGGTTAGGGCATGATCATGCTCCACTGGAGAGTTTTCCGTCTCTCTTCCCCCTCCCACCTCCTGGGAAGTGGATGCACCCTCTGGTAATTAAAAAAAAAAAAACATACACACACACACACACACACACACACACACACACACTCGGCGTGAGTTTAAAGCCTCCAGGTCTGAGACTCAAATCATGGTCTGCCATGTGGGAGTCCAGTGACATAACTGTGCTGGTCTCAACAGGCCCATTTTTTAAACGCTGATATCTGTTCCCTTCTTAGAGCTTTCTTAAACTGTCTCACATACTTGTCCGCAGCGTGGCAGATAGTGCCACATGTGTCGGCCATGTCATCCACGAGGATAGCCACACGGTCCTTAACATCGCCCACTAGAACCATCCGGTCCACTTCATTTGCTTTCTTTCTCTCCTTGTGAATCAAAGCAAATTCCACATTTAGCCTGTCTGCAATTGATGTGACCCTGTGTAAAGATGCAAATGAGCATGTTAATATAGTCAACTACAAAAACTTTTCCTTAAAATAGTATGTTAAGAACATAGCACGCAACCACACTTAAGATAATGGAAAGAATCCTGTCTCAGGTGGTATGTAGACACAGTCCGGGGTATTCCCTATGCAATTCACAGGGGACATATGCTAGCGATAGACCCTGTATTTGTGGCAACTGGAGTGACGTTCAGGGCACCCTGGCCACTGAATAAAAAATGAATATTCGATTTGTTAGTATTTATCGGTAGGTTTTAAAAATCATGGGCACAGTTACAATGAATTATTTAGAACTACCAGTGGCTCAGGTTACAGGGCAGAAGGTGAGGACGAAATTCCTAATGAGTGCACCCACATAACACACAGGCTTTGGAATGGGCTTCACTGTGCTTGAAGCTCAGGAAAACCCTGGAACCCGTAAGTCCAGTCCCTCTGCAGATGCTCACATAGCCAACCATGGTCTGAATCCTGGCTCTGGCAGCTTGAAAAACATACTGGGCACATGTGCCCAAAATCCTGATGGAAGGGATGAATGAAAGAGAAGAGGTTAGGGCATGATCATGCTCCACTGGAGAGTTTTCCGTCTCTCTTCCCCCTCCCACCTCCTGGGAAGTGGATGCACCCTCTGGTAATTAAAAAAAAAAAAAGGAATGAAGTACCTACCTACGTGTGCTGCAATGTGGATAAACTGTGTAAACATTACGCTAAGTGAAAGGAGTCAGATGAAAAAAAGGTCACATATTCAATTCCATTTATATAAAAAGTCCAGAATGAGCAAATCCATAGAGACAGAAAGTAAATTAGTGCTCAACAGGGCCTGGGGAGGGAGGGATAGGAGTGGATGCTTAATGGGTACAGGCTTTCCTTTTGGTGTAATGAAATGTTATGGAACTAAAAAATGTAATAGTCGTACATCACTGTGAATGTACATAATGCCATTGCATTGCTTTTTAATGGTTAAAAAGGTTAATTCTATGTTCTATGTATCTTACTGCAATTAAGAAAAAATACTGGCTACGTTGCAAGTCCTCCAAAATAGAGAAGACTCTTGTTCCCTTCATGCTGCCTTCTCAGCCCCAGAAAGGAGATTCCTCTCACAGGCATGCCCACTCTGTCCTTGGTCACTGCAGTCACGGCCCTCTGCTCTTGGTCACTCTCTCAGGATGGGACTGTGAATGGGGCTGGTACTTAAAAAATAATGTGTGTATCCTCCTGTGTTTTAGGGTGTGTGTGTACTGGTCCCTCATGTATTGCTTCCAGCATATATTTCTTCCAGCTGAATTGCACAATGACTGATCGTTAGTTTGAAAACTGGCATGGGGACAACTTAATGTCACATGAAATGCATGGCATACTTTTCAAATCAGTGTCATCATTTAAGTCCACCTTCATAGGAAAACCCCGGGCTCACACCAAGCCTGGCCTGTGCACCTTCTCCTCCTGCTGCCAGATCAGCCCCACCCGAGATGATGGCTATGTGGGATCTGGCGCCCTGCATACAGGCGCTTGACTTCTATGCTAGGGGCCAGTCCAGTATGTCACTCTTTTTTATGGCTGAATAACATTTCATGGAGTGGACGCAGCATATTTTGTTCATCCATCCACCTGGTGTTTCGACTTTTTGACTGTGGTGGAGAGTGCTGCTGGGAAGACCGGCATACAAGTTGTGCTTTAGTCCCTGACTTCAGGTCTTTGGGGCATACATCTACAAGTGGACTTGCTGGGCCATGTGGCAACTGTGGATAACTTCTTTGGTCAGTGTTTCCACAGCTTCAAGCCACCCGCTTTTCATTTTGACCAGAGAATACGGCGACCTCTTTCAAGACTTAATGCTCTTTTTCTACATTAGAATCAGCAAGGACATTTGCTGTCTCAAGCAAGAGATGAGGCCCAAGGGAAGACCACCTTTATTCCAGAGACCTCTCTCTACTTCTAGGTGACATCTTTAAAGTGCACGTTGGCACTCTGGCAGGCCAGGAAGTCTGATCACCCTTCCCAGTGGAAGAAACTACAGTGCTAGATTACACTGTAATCCAAGGAAACTATCTTTACAAACATATCCCTGAGCTGGAAGGAAGAGTCATCAGAGCAGAGAATGCAAAAGTTGATTATCCTGAGAAGAAGCTGGCATGCAGCAAAGTGCTTGCCCTGAGGAATCCTGCAAGCCCTAATGACTATAAGCCCATTTTGCTGGCAGTTACACAGGGGATGAGAAAGTAGGCCTAGGGCCCTGCTGAGGCCATAGGCCTCGTATAACACAGGGATGCCACAGGTTCCTCCTTGGAGTAACAAGGAATGAAAAATAAACCTACTGCCCAGCTGGCAACAGGAAGGACACTGACCCTTCCCAAACTTGAGAATGAGTGGAGGGGTTGGTTCTGAGCACTCGTTTACATTCTTTCCTGTGTGTGCATGTGTAGAGGCACCCCCAGAAGAGACAGATACGTAATCTACCACATTATTTATGGAATAATTACTCAGTTATTCACTGGTAGAGATATGCTAGTTAAAACTGTCTTCTTTTTAACTTTCCAAAGGTTTTACAGAGCATGTCCAAAGATGATATAATCATGAAAAAAAAAGTTAAATTTGAATTGGTTTAGTTTCTTCCACTTCCCATCCAACTTTAAATAGCTCAACAGTGGTAGGTATGTTTCTTTCAGTTTCTTTTTTCTTGACTGTCAACCCAATCAAGCTTCAAAGACTACCCAAGAGTGACCTCCTGTGGCGATATTAAGTTTTACCTGGAAGAGTCAAGCCTCAAAGCTCTTTCTAAAGTGACAAGCTCCAATTTGTCAGACAGAGATTTGTTTTGTTTGGTGAAATATGACTTCCTGCATCAAGTAGAGAGGCCACAGATAACGTCAACTGTGTGAGCCATGTATTACCTGCAAAGCTGCTCGGAGGGACTTGTCAGCTGGAGAACTCACACTCCCGAATGGGAGGAGGACCCTGATATGTAGGGGAAATGGAAAGGAGGTGACAAAAAATGTGCAACGTATGCCCTAAAAAGCCTGACTTTCCTGGCAGAAAGCACAGGGTGGGCTGGGGGAGACTACTCTGAAGGGGGTCAGAATGAAATAATCTGGTTTGTTGGCTCTGCGTTGGCAGGCTGGCCTTGCAGTGTATTGGGAACCAGATCCCATATGACCAACTGTATTTCAAATCCTGGCCCCAGTGGGTTGAAAAACATGCAGGGTGCATGTATGTGTGTGCCCCAGATGCTGACAGCATGCAAAAATGAAGAAGGGGCTGTGGCGTGGTCATGCCCCTTTGAGGGGTGCTTTCTCTCTCTCTCTCCCTGGAGAATGCACACACCCTCTGACAAAGAAAAAAGAATAAAACTAGGAGTTGGCAAATAGCTAGGGGAAATTAATTTTTAATAAAAGGTGCTATTTCAAATCAATAAAGAAGAGTTAGATTATTTAATAAATAGTTTTGGAACAACTAGATAGCTGAGGGGAAGAGTTGGATTCTTATTTACACTTTATTTCAAAATAAATTTCATGTGGGAGAACTGGAAGACTGAAAAAGGCAACTCTAAAAAAAATTATATCATAGGAGAAGAATGTTAAGGGCAAATCCTTTGTAAACCCAGAAGCCATAACATGAAGAAAAGACAAATATGACTACATAAGAAGGTTTAAAAGTCCTACAGAGAATAAAAAGATTTTGAAAAAGGGAAAATGCAAAACTTGAGGGAGTATCTGTAACACACGCACAAGAAACAAAGCTGTGACCTCCTGTCTGTGCAGAACTCTTGACAGTCCACCGGAAAGACCTCCAGCCAGCGGAACAAAAGGTGGAAGGTACGAATACACCTTCCAACAGGAAATCCACACATGCCCTTCTCTAGGGCAACGTGAATGATCAGAAAGAGATACCAGCTGTCGCTCACCTGACCTGGAAAGGAAGATTGTCTGATCATCCACTGTGTACAAGGCTGTGGAGAAACTCATGGGCCTCCACATTCGATGCCCTGTCAACTGGTATACCTTTTATGAAAGACCATATCTTGGCATTGCGCATCAAAACTAAAATGGTTCATGCCCTCTGCCTTGGCAATTCCACTTGTAAGAACATTATCCTATTTGTGTGCATGTCTAAAACATCAGCAAGTACACTGGTGGCAGGACTGTCTTTATGAGTACAAACAAGAATCCCTACAAATGGATAACGGAGGACTGGTTTAGGGATGAGGATATATGCACACAAGGAAATACTACACGGCTATAAAAAACAACACAGCAGATCTACTGCACAGCTGTAGAATCATTGCTAAGATACAAGGGGACTTTATGAAACTCGGAGAGAAATTAAAGTATGAGTTCATTTTGGTGCAAAAAAAAGTTCAAATTCATGTGTATTTTTCTCATTATATGCATTTTCTATGAACTTTCTGAAGACCTCTTATATCTATTATATTTGAATAACATAAATTTAAAAAGAGTGGCAGTGTTTAAACAAGCAAATAGGGCACACTACCTTTTGTACTGTTTTAATTTTTGCTAAGGACATGCATAATATATTTTTTTGAGAGGTTTTTGCTATAGGGCACGTGCGCGACAGAAAGACAGAGAGAGACAGAGAGACAGAAATAGAGAAATCACCTCCCAGGGGGGATGGCCACGCCACAATCCCTTCTCCTCCATTCTCCTATTGGGAACTTGGGCACGCACGTACATGTGCCTGGCATGAGTTTAAACCATCAAGTCCAGGACTTGAACTGCGGTCGACTACATGGGAGTCCAGCAACATAGCCATTATGCTAACTGCTGGTTCCGAGGACATGCATAATATTTTTAGTCTCTCTCGCGACATCTATATCTATTTCAAAGTAGGGTTGGGACAGGAAAGAAAAAAGGCCATACAAGTTTGTACAGTCTATCAGTATTATTCTTTGGGGTTACCGGCTGCCAAAGTAATATTCTTTGATTAACAAAGAAGTATGGTGACACACAAAGGCCACGTATTATACATATTTGTGGGTTCCACATCTGTGGACCATGGATCGAAAATATTCAGAAAAAAATGACATAGCAATTAAAAATAATTCAAATTTTAAAAATACAGTACAGTCCCCTGCATAGTATTTACATTGTATTACGTATGTGATCTAGAGAAGATTTAAAGTGTAAGTGAAGATGTATGTAGGTTATATGCAAATACCATGCCATTTTGCATAAGGGAATTTAGCATTTGTGGAAATTGGTATCCATAGGGCATTTGGAGCCAATCTCCCATGGAGCTGGAGGGGCAACTATATGATCAATTCATATGAAAAGTCCTGCAAAGGCAAATCCATGGAGACAGAAGGTAGATTAAGTGGCTGCCAGAGGCTAGGAGAAGAGGGAATAGGGAGAGACTGCTAATGGGTATGGGTTTCCTTTGGGGTGATAAAAATATTGTGGTTTTCGATAGCAATACGGCTGCACAAATCTGTGAAATACTAACTACCACCATGCGGTAGGCTCCAAGTGGGTGAATTGTAGGTGTCTGAATTACAGTTCAGTGCAGCTGCTATGAACAACCAGCTGCATCTTATGCTCCTGAACCCTCCTGGCCCACTCTTCACCTCTAATCACTCCCAGATTGGGCCAATGAATCTGCCATGTTTGAGCACAGATACCACCATGTGGCTTGAGTATGTTCCCAAGAAAACTGAAAGCCTTTCCAGCAGACATGACTCTAACATGTCACTCACTCACTGATGCAGATCACACCAGTGTGATCAAACCTCAATGCCCTAGCATGGGCATACTTGTGAACATCTCGCACTGTAACAAGACCTGACACATTGCTGCTCTCTGCCCCAATGCTTCCCCATCTGGGCTCTTTGCAAGTCAACTTTCTGCTTCTGATGTTTATATATCTGTGTCTCCTTCCAGTCCATGGCCACTTCTTGCTGCTGCCAGAGGCCAGCCTGCAGCT